TGTTTCTCTGACTAGTTTTGATAAAAAAAAAAAAGAAAAAAAAGAATTACAAGGACTGTGACAGTAAAATTTTGGAAACATGAACAACTCACTAAGCTAAAAACATGAGATCAATATTAAAGCCCTGTATTTCAAGATCTCTGATCCCAAGTTTGTGTCCAAAGGGAATTCGTAATTTGTGAACCAAGAATTGCGGGATTGAATTTTTGAAGCAAAATCTATGTTCTCGCATGAGATCTATGACTCAAAACAAACACAACCCGCTTGGAATCATTCATGACTTCAAGCGGGTTGTGAATGATATGCCTATATGCACATTGCAAAAACGCATATTGCGACTACTTTCATATGTGAGTGTGTGTGTGTGTGTGTATGTATTTTGTGTGTATGTTCGTCTGTCCGGGTATTTCAATTCGGCAACCAAGCAGGTTCCAGCGTCAAGATTTTGCCAGTAGGTTTCTCGGCCAAGTGCCACCCAAGGACCTCGGTGCCAACCCTCTCGCAAGTATGGGCCCCGCGTACGGAGGGTGGAACTTTTGGCGAGGAAATTGATAACTCGGGAACAAGGAAAGATAGCTGAAATTTTGAGGTTATGTTCCTGTCCACATATAACTCAAAAATTTCAAATTCCTTCTCCAGGTTTGCGTGGTTCCCGCATACGGTTCCGTGGTACTTTTTTGGCGGCAAAATGGCTAACTTGGGGACCGGGAAAGCTGGGAGGCTGAAATTTTCACGGGATGTTCCTAGCATAAGTACAGCATAAACCTATCAAATTCAGCCCCCAGTCGTACGTGGTTCCTACGTACGGTGAAGTTTTTTGGCGCGAAAGTCGCTAACTCGGGAACTAGCAAAGCTGGGGACTGAAGTCTTAAAGGATGTTCCTGGCCTACATACAACTTAAAAATTTCAAACCCAGCCTCCAGGTATGCTTACAAGTCACGTGCGGCCCTGTGAGATTTCTGACGGGAAAATTGCCAACTTGGGGACCAGAAAAGCTGGAAAGTTGAGATTTTAGGAGAATATTCCCCGTCCAAATACAACTTAAAGGTTTCAAATTCAGCTTCCATGTGCGCGTGGTTCTCGAGTGCAAGCACTCAAATTTTTGGCGAGAAAATTACTCACTGAACAGCTGGGTCACTTTCAAAAAACGACCGCTAAACGGGAATTATGACTTACGGTACTGAGTGCGCAAGATAAGTGTGAAGAAACAGCCGTTCATGCACTTAACCTAACTGCTTCAAGTTTAGCGCAAAAATGTATGATCGCACGGGCTCGCCTGGTGTGTTCCAGCCTGGGTTATAATTTTGTCAGCGCCGCTTTTACAAACCAAGGACGAACGAAGTTACTGGCTTAGAATTTTGATATTTTGGGAGTTAAACATCTTAAAACCATTCATCAAGTCTTAACTTTCTTGACCTTAGTTTCCCAATCGAACGATCTAGAATTCAAAATGCTGGGTGGATTAGTCGGCTACACAAGGTGCTATAAACGATCAAAAATCAGCTTGCAAAGCCTATTTTTCCGTGAATTGCTCGGTTTGATTTTATAAACCGAGCAATTCACGGAAAAATAGGCTTTGCAAGCTGATTTTTGATCGTTTATAGCACCTTGTG